CCCAGTCCCTCTCTCGCTTTTGAGTCTTGCCCTCTCTTTGCATGGCTTTGAAATTTACTGGATGACATACAGCGTGATGTCACGAGTTTATAGAGCAAATCTATTTCATGGTATTATAATTGCAAATTAACACTAATAAAAATTAAAAATATAATAAAAATAATATTTTTTGGAATATTAGGTTAACAATGAAAAACTTAAAGGCTTGATAGAATGAGTTATAGTAATTCATAGTGTTTTGTAAAAAAACTTATCATGTCTTTTCTATATAATTTAATTTTATTATAATTGTAATTCTCAATCAGTTTAATATTAAAAAAATAAAATTAACAAAGATAATTTTATAAAAAATTATAACAAAAAAAACAAGCGAGGAAATATTGTAGTAATCTACAATGTTGTAAATAAAAAAATATAAAATTAAACTCTCAACCAATTCAATATTAAAATAATAAAAATAATAAATATAATTTTATGAAAAATTATATAAAAAACCATGTAAGGAAACACTATAAATATAATTTTATGAAAAATTATATAAAAAAAAAACCATGTAAGGAAACACTATAGGAATTCACAATATTTAATGATACTAATAACAATAACAGTAATAATAATAATAATTTTTAATTTTACCCTTCAAATCAAATTCATGGTTGTTTTTTAATATTCATGATATTTTTTTTAAAATTTATTAGTTATTTTATTAATAATATTAATTATAATACAAATAATAATATTAAAACTACTAATTACAATAAAAGTAAAAATATTTGTAAAATAAAAAATATTATTTTTAATTATAATATTTTTAATTATAATAAAAATAATAATATTTATAATACAAATAATAATATTTAAAACCTAAAATTTTATAACCTTAAGTTATGACACATAAGTTATGACACAGATCTGAGAGAATTGATCAAATACCCTTGAGCTGGCACGGGACCCAAGACAGTTGAATAATCTAAGAAAACTAGACCGTTAGCCTTAGGTTCATTACCAATAGATCTCGACCAAACTGAGTGGGTCTGGAAACCCCAGACACGTGGTTTTGAAAACTCACTTGTTTGCTAAGCATACGAGTTTGCCCCCGGCACCTGGAATATATTGCTCAAGCATCAAATGTTTGCAACCTGAGACATAACCTCAAACCATGTAGCCTTTGAAACTCTTTATGTTACGGTATAGCAGTTCCAGTAATTGAATGTTTGTCTTTTTATTTTAAAAATATTTTTGAAAAAATTTAAAAATTTTTTATTTTTTTATTAATTTTAAATTAATATATTTTTAATATTTTTAAATTATTTTAATATGCTGATATCAAAAATAATTTTTTAAAAATAAAAAAATATCGTTGGCATGTATTTTAATATGAAACAACAACCACACTTCTAAATAAACTCTAATAAATGTCTGCTGTTCCATCAAAAACTATTTGAAAAACAACAACAACCACGCTTCTAAACAGGCTCTAATAAATATCTGTTGTTCCATAAAAAATTTCACTAACTATTTTTTCTTAGACATTCTTTTAATATTAAATACATCTTAATAAAAAAAAATCTCATTCTTTCTGTATAGTTTTTACAACTCCTTAAAATAAAAGCAGTTTTGTTACTATACTGCTCCAATATGTAATAATATGAATCTTCACGATCTAAGACTTTTGCTAATACTATTTTAATTCTTAATACAATAAATCTCGATGAACATGATTTTTCCTCCGTAATTTAGCTTTATGGATCACAATAGCCTTCAATTAATTAGAAGACAGGTAAGACCTATCATGAATTATTTGCGTCTATGTGACAAATACATATGCGTGCACTCCCATACCCATAAATCATTTAAATTCACAGTAACGGTACATGCGCACAGTGCACTCGATGATTAGTGACTAGACAAATTAACACAATTATTCGTACAGCCATAATTAAATCATAAACAAGTATTTTATGTTCTTTTATGTTATTCGTATCAATAGCCCCTACCGTTATACTTAGCTCAAGGAATGGTATTAGAAAATTTTCAATGGGGATGTCATCGTAAAAAAACATAAGATTGAAGGGCAAATATTTTATTTTTAGAAAGACTATTTTAAAATTTTAAAAATTTTAAAGACCAAAATTAAAATATTTTAAAACATAATTTGAAGATCCCATACTCCAAAGCAAGCTGCAGTTGCTCCCAGATCACCTCCTTCAAACACAAGCACGAGGAGATGATTGCATGTATGCCGGTCATCACCATTATTTAAATCACAGCTCTTATTAAGCTTAGGTTATCACATAAGCAAAGGATGTTGACTATCGCTAGGTAAATTGCTCAAGGAAACTAGTGGGAGAACAGCCGATATTTCATTGTCGGTGATGTTCTGCACCTTATTAATTATTTTGCATATATAATTGCTTCCCAGAATGCGCAAGTGTATTAGAATTATAATGGAATCTTTCTATTTAATTAGGGCGATCCATGTGGAGCAAAAATTAAATAAAAATCTGAATACCATATGGGCTCTCGTAATATTTCCCTTAAAACCAAAGTCTAGGTTATACTCCCGGATTAATTGAAAGTTTGGTGCAGGGGTTGCATCATCATGTTCTAAATTTTTGAATTTTTTTATTTAAATTTAAATTTTTTAAATTAAAAAGTTTTTGAATTTAATTTTAAACAAAGATAACTTTAAAATAAACATCTACTACTATCTTAAAGGCCTCATAGCACAGCTTGATTTTGAATTTTAAAAAAAAAATATTGTGTGGTTAGAATTTTTTAAGTGGTTTCTTGTTGACATTAAAAATAAAATTTAAAAAATAAAATAAAATAATTTTAAAAATTAATCTCTACCATTACTGTCTCAAACACCTATGCCACAGCTTGATTTTAAATTTAAAAAAAAAGGGGAAGAAAAGAAAAGATGATTGTGTGGTTAGAATTGGATTGTCATCTTCTAAAGCCATGCCCGACTACAAGAGCTATACTATTTGAGTCAGCTTAGAAAGGTAGACCGTCATCATCTCCAGCTTATGCCAGAGTAGGTGGTGATTCCTGGACGAAGAAACAGCGGCAGGATGGTTCAGCCCCAACGCCATAATACCTTGCAAGTTGCAGCTACTGTCCTACAGTATTTTACCAGTTGACGGGCTACCGCAAATAGCTCCAGATTAAGATTGATTTTAAATCTAAACTACATTTCTTGTAATCTCTCAATTACACCCAGACGAGAGAAAAAATTTCCGCGAAGCAATGAATAGGAAAGCGTCCTGGAAAATCCAATGGACAGATCATGATCACCTCGCGGGTTAGATAATTTATTGTTCTTGGGCCCAGGATACTGCATAAAACCTCTTACAGTGTCTGATGATGCGTTTCGGCCCATGTCCAAAAGTCAAGGCCTGGGTCAGAACTGATACAAGGAAGAAAGAGAAAAGGAAAAAAGGAACATGACTAGGAAAGCAATCTGACTAGACTAATGAAATTCTTCCTTGCTGTTCTTCTTTTATTACGAGGCATGGGTGTGTAAATTACACCTTACTATCCGCACCAGAAGTATTATTTTTTATAATTTTGACCATGTGCTCCGATTGCTTTGCTCTATAGCAGAATATATAAAGATATTGATGAATTTAAATTTAATAAACTCAAAAAACACCTCAACTAAGCAAATGCCCATTTTATGCAGGGTCAGTGAAGGGGTGAGCTTAGTTTCATCCACACAACTATTTTTTTTGAAAAAAACTTATTACATTTTTATTGGTATTAATATATATAGAGATATTTTTTACTGTTAATATACATGCTGGAAATATTTTATATCAACATTTAATATATATATAAAATATATTTTTTCTCGGTAAAACTATTAGAATAATATTATAACTTAACTCGTTTTCTTCATAAAAAAACTTGTTAGCTGTAAATAAATTATAAATTTAAAAATTTAAAAATATTTTTAATTTTTATTATTTATTATTTATTTATTTACATAATATCTTTGGATAGCATTAATGCATTTTTCTAAAAAAACACTAATTTATTTATTAAAAAATCTCTAATATCATAAAGAATGATTCTTTGCATATGCTACCATCTTTGTTATAAAATAATAGATTAAATTGTCAAAATCATAAAATTAACTAATGACCGTGGACACAAGCCTTAAAGCATCTCCAACGGGAGATGCTTTTTAGAAGAGCTAAATTGGTAATATGGCTTTTTGAATAGTATAGATATAACTTTTTTGTTGATGTTCATTCCAATGGTAAAAAATCATTTAGAAGAGCCAATTGTATTTTAATATATTTGATCCATAATTATTTTAATACAGTCTGTTAATATTTATAAAAATAAGGAATCAATATCTTTCTAAGAGCATCTCTAATAAAAAATGTTATATTGCAGAGCCAAATAAAAAAAATACCTTTTTAAATAGTATAAATATAGATTTTTAAATTATATACATTCCAATGGTAAAAAGCTATATAGAAAAGCCATTTATATTTTAATATATTTCATGTTAAATTAATTTTAATACAATTATATAACTAATTTAAATATTTTATATATAATATAATTATGATGTTATTAATTATATAATTAATATGAATAATTTATAAAAGTAATATAAAATTAATGAAGTAATATAAAAGTTTAAAAAATATAATTTAAAATTAAATTTAAAATTTATTTATATCAATATTTTTAATTTTAAGTTTTATATGTTATTGTTAAAAATTTAATTTTTAAAAAGTAAATTTAAATTCAAACTTTAAAAAAATCAGCGCCAACATAACCGCCAACATTAAATTTTTAAATTTTAAATTTTGAAAAAATAACCGCCAATATTTTAAATTTTAAAATTTCAAATTTTTAAAAAATTACCGCCAACATTCTAAGATTTTACAATTTGAAAAAATAGTCCATCTATAAATATTCTCATATACCTTAACATTTTTTCTCATCATTTTCTTCTCTCCAATCTTTGTTATATTTCATTAAAATTCATCATGAATCATTCTAATTTTAATTTTTATGATGCTTTTGATTTTGATGATGACACTCTTGTGTTGGCTTTTCAAGTTGCTACTGCTGTAGTTGCTGAAGAAGAATCGAATAATCAAGGGCGGAGAACAAGGTATCGTGGCTCTATTCCTGGTCATAATATTGTCAATCGTAATAGAAAGGAAGGTGAGATAAGGTTATATAATGATTATTTTGCAGAAAATTCTAAATTCACTGAAAGTCAATTTCGAAGAAGATTTAGGATGAGTCGTCGTCTTTTTCTTCGGACCGCAAATGCAGTGGAAGCTCATAATTCATATTTCAAACAAAGGACAGATGCTCTTGGTGTTCTTGGTTTATCTTGCCTTCAAAAGATAACTGCAGCTCACAGAATACTTGCATATGGTATTCCTGCAGATCTTACTGATGAATATCTTCGAATTGGAGAAACCACTGCAATAGAAAGTCTTAGAGCTTTCGTCAAAGCAATCGTAGAAGTTTTTGGTGATTGGTATCTAAGGGCACCAAACGAGGCTGATATTTGTCGATTATTATCAATTGGAGAGCAGCGTGGGTTTCCAGGGATGTTAGGGAGCATTGACTGTATGCATTGGAAATGGGAGAAATGCCCAATTGCATGGCATGGGATGTATACTGGTCATTGTCGTGAACCAACTATAATTCTAGAGGCAGTGGCTTCACAAGATCTTTGGATATGGCATGCCTTTTTTGGAATGCCTGGATCATTAAATGATATTAATGTTCTTGATCGGTCACCTATTTTTGCTGCACTTGCTGAAGGTCGTACTGCTCCTGTCAATTATACAATTAATGGGCATGAATATACAATGGGATACTATTTAGCAGATGGGATTTATCCTAATTGGTCAACCTTTGTTAAGACAATCCCAAGACCATTAGGAGCAAAGAGAAAATATTTTGCAAGCAAGCAAGAGTCTGCAAGGAAAGATGTGGAGCGGGCATTTGGGGTGCTCCAATCTCGTTTTGCAATTGTACGTGGACCTGTTCGATACTGGGATGAAGAAACGCTTGCATATATTATGAAAGCTTGCATAATAATGCATAATATGATTATCGAGGATGAAGGAGCAATGAACCTTAGATTTGACCATGAACATGAAGTCATTTCCTTTATATCAGTGTCACATTGTGAAATACCAGAACTACATGATTTTCTTCAAACTCATAATCGAATTAGGGATAGAGCTACTAGCTCTCAACTACAAGAAGATTTGATTGAACATTTGTGGGAACAATATGGCAACGAGTAGAATCTTTAGATTTTAACTTCTTATGTTATCATAATTTTCAGGTTTTTTATGTTTTTTTTCATTATGTTTGTTATCTTTTAAGTTAATTAATCCTACTTGTTATTGTTAAATGTTAGAGGAACTTTAAAAAAGTATTATGAATTGATATCAATTTCATAACAATGTATTTAAAATAACCAAGAATTTTCTACATATTTAATTAAAAATACATTACATTACAATAAATCAATCAAAGTTAATTAAAAATCAAAACCCCTCTTTTGCATAATTTCTAACTTTCTATTTTGAAAATACGCTGCAGAAATTGGATCCAAATTAGAAATATCCATTTTCATAATTTGTTCTTCTTTCTCAATCCTGTCCAATTCTTGTTTCTCTTGACTTTGTTGAATCATCATGGCTTGTTGCTCTAACATAATTTTCCTGTCTTGTTTCTTCTGATCCTCAATTTCAACTAGAGTATCCCTGAATTGTTGTAAGAGATTCGTTACAGTTACATCCCCAACTTTATCTTTTCCTTGTCTACGTTTAAGTCGTTCCTTTGCAGCCTTCTGACCGATTGGTCTATCTTGATAAATCAACGGTTCACTATCTTCTCCTAAACTCACAGCATCAGGGGTGGATGGAGTTGATGAAGCTGGACTTGCATTGACATGACCTTTTTGTTTCTTATTTGACCTTTGATGTTGACTTGCACGCTCAAATTATCATTTGGGTTCTTTTCTTAAAATAACCCAGCAATGTTCTAGTTGAAATCGTTTGCCAACGCAAGAAGCATACATTTGCCGAGCATCATTAATCTGGTAAAAAAATAAATAAATTAAATAATATTAAAATATATGTTAAACAATTTAACATAAAAATGAATATAAACTTACCCTTGATTCTTCAGTCATTCCACTTTGCTGACGATTTTCAATTTGAGTAACAAATCCAACGAATTTACCGACTTCTCTATTTATTTCTTGCCATCTACTTGAGATACTTATTTGTGAATGATTATTCAAGTTTCCTCCATTATCTACAAAGCAAGCATGTACACGAGCCCAAAACTGTTTTGTTTGTTGTTCAACTCCTGTAATTGGATCCTTGCTTGTATTTAGCCATGCAGAGACGAGTAAACAATCCTCCTCTGGTGAGAAATTTTTACTTCTTTGTGATTTTTTTGCCGAATGGACATTTAAATTCGAGCATGTTAAGTCATCAATTAATTGATTAGAATCACTTGGTTGAGAGAGAATATCTTCTGACTCACTCATAAGAAAGTTGGTAAAAGAGCTTGGAAAATTTGAATCCATCTACATTAAAAAAAAACTCAAGTTAAAACTTTACAAGAGAGTATAAAAGAAGCTCGCATTCAATGTCTAATAATTTTGTAGTTTTCATACATGCGAATTAATAATAAGCATTGCCTCCTACTTGTTTTAATAATAATTTGACCATTTTTTGGAACTAAAATAGAATCGATATACTAGTTTAATTGCATTTTCAAAAGGACAAAATAGAATTGACCTCAAATTAAGACATACAATAAAAAATAAATTTTAAATATGTAACTCAATCTTTTTATCAATATCAACTACCATTATTAATTCCTCTCAATTTTATCAAAGATAACAACATAAATATAAATTGTCTTTCTTAATCCATATTAAAAACATCAAAGAATAAAGAAATAAACCTCATCACAAATATTAAATTAACAACAAAAGGTCTAAAAAATAAAGAGATATAAAAAATAAAAAAACTTTTAAACAAGCATACCTTTTAATTTCAGCTAATTAACACAACCGATGTTAATAATTAATCGGAGAATAATTGATTCTTGTTTTTTTTTTAAATTTGAGAGAAGGATGAGGCACAATACAAAAATTTAAACTACAAATTTTTTCTTCATGTATTTATAGAAAATTTATTCTATATTTAAAAAAAAAAATTATTAGCCAACGGCTATAAAAATAGCCGTTGGCCAATGGCTATAAAAATAGCCATTTCTACAGTTAAATGTAGAAATGGCTGTTAACAAAACAAATAGCCAAAATGGCTATTTGTTTAGCTTGCCCGTTGGAACATGAACAGAAACAATTAAATAGGCAAAACAGTTTTAGCTCTCCGTATGCCTCGTCCGTTGGAGCTGCTCTAAGGCAGTGTTTCATATTGAGGTTCCGCGGCGTTTTGAAAATTATTAAAAAAAAAAAATCGAGTTTTGTTTGTATTGTTTTAATATGTTAATATTAAAAATAAATATTTTAATATAATATGTATGCTTTTTTTGACATATTTTCTTGCATAAAAATATATTAAATATGAATTGAGAAACTTATACATGTATTTAATTAAATAAATCGAGAAACATATATATCAAAAAATAAAAAATATTATTAAAGATAATTAAATATGTATTTTAAAAAATCAAGAAATAGATGTAGATCAAGATATTTTATTTTGCAACATGGTTCATTTAACCTATTCTATTCAATGACCCTGTATATACAAAATATTTTTTTATTTAATCAGGTAATAGTAAAAATGAATATACATGTAAAATTCATTGAATAAAATCAAAGCGAAAAAAATAAATTGAAAAGTTGTACTTATTAGAAATGCTATCCATAAATAAGTTTTTATTTTTTAAAATAAAGTTCGATCATGTAAAACATAAAAAAGAAAATTATAAATGAATTTCAATCAAATAATAGTAAAAATGAACATATACTTAAAATTAATTGAATAAAATCAAAGAGAAAAAATAAATAAGTCGCAATGTTGCACTTATTAGAAATGCAATCCATGAAAAAGTTTTTATTTTTTAAACTAAAATTCAATTATATAAAACATAAAAAGGAAAATTATGAATGGATTAGAAAAATCTCTTCAAAAAATAAATACTTAAAAACAATCACTATTTAAAAAAGCTAAATACAAAAAATAAAAAATAGAGAGAAGGTTTATTAATTTAAATATAAATTAGAAAAAATATTTTAAACAACAAATATAAAAAAACATGATTTTTTAGAAAAAGCTAAATTATAGGAAGAAAAAAAGTAAGGCATTTAAAAAGGCAGACTAGCACTTGAGACCAATTATTTTTTAAAAAAATAAGTTAGATAACATGCTTTTTAACTTTGCTTAGATTTTAGCTATTATAATGGCCAAAAAAATGAACTTGAAAAAATAAAAAACTATTTGAAAGTAAAAATCAAATAGAAACTAAAAATCTTCTCGATTTCATATCTATTTTTTTATGCACTTTTAGTATAAGAAAAAAAATATAAATTGAATTCCTCTTTTCATATGTAATCATGTGACAAAATGATCAACTATTTTAATGATTGAAATTGGAACCAACAATAATTTTTTCTTTTCATTACTAAAATTCAGCAATCTCCCTCTTATTTTTTAAATCAAGCACTAAAAAATAACAAAAATATTTTTTTATACTAAAATCAAATTAAAAAAGTATTGCGGGATCAAATATATATAATATGTGAAGTGTGAGGACAAAATGAACTTTTTTTTAGGAGAACTTTAAAACCATCATTTATTTGTAACATCTTTTTCATTTTGATATTTTTTTAATTTTATTTTCGGTCAACAAATCCAATTCAACTATCCTTTTATTTAGCCCAAAAAAGATGCAATGATGTAAAAAAAATTTCAGGATAAAAAAAAAGAGTCCACAGTAAAATAAGAGAATGACAATTTAAGTGTACAATTAAAAACTTTAACCTTTTAGTGTTTTCTATAATAAAATAAATAAAGATGTAAAATAAATAAAGATGGGTACAAGGAACGTTGCCTCCGGTTATGTGAAAAACTCAATCTCACACCATCGTTATTATTAGTTTTTCGTGAAATATACTTCTTGAGAATTTATCTATTAAAGTATTTTTTTTAAATTAATCTATCTCATTTTTATTCATATTTAATTAATGTTCATAGTTATATTGAGATTTAGTATTTATATCAATTTAATGTTTGTTTTTCTCAGTGTGTTAATGAGAAATTTTTTAACTTGCCCCAAGTTTTATAGAGAAAAAGATTATTTCTCACGAATCCAACAAACATGGGATGAGGATGGAAAAGTTAAATTCATCTTTAATCATTTTTTTTTTAAAAAAAAAAACTAGTCGTATTTGAATTTGTAAAACAAGCCTATCCAAATTTAATGATTCAACATTGAGAACCGAATGCAAAAACTTTTATTTTAATTCTTTTTTAAAAAAAAATTATATTGAAAAAAATATCAATTTAATATTTTTTATTATTATTTTAATATGCTGATATAAAAGAAAATAAACACTTAGATTCTAAAGAATTTTTGAAAAATAAGAAATTTAAAGAAAATTCAAATTGTGTTTTTTTTTTCACATGATAAATTAATTGTAATGTAAATACTACAAGTAATCTAAAGGGTCAATCTAGTGAGAAAAGAGACTTTTTTTTAAGTCAATATTAAAAAAACAATTATTAAATTTTCTTAAATACACTTTAGTAAATGCAAGGGAAACTCCGTTCATTGGGAAACCAGGGAGCGCTCTAGTTCGTTTTCTTGATTTTCCGTGCTCTTGATTCATGTAAAGCTTCTGAAAATAGCTCCACAGACAGAACTCGGGCGAGGTTCATGCTCCTATCTTTCCAAAAGCAGGGTCGTTATCTTCCTTCTGATTCTTCAACACCAAGATTCTGTCATTTTTGTTTTTTTAATAAGTTTATTGATTTTTTTTAGTATTTTTAGATTATTTTGATAAAATAATATTTTAAAATAAAAAAATATTTTTTTAATATATTTTAAAATAAAATACAACTCGTAACACCTATCGAACACTACCTTCTAAGTGTTGGTTTCTTGTCGGGAAAAAGAGAAGAACGTTGAGTAGAAGACTCGTTTATCTAGTAATCTATCTATAAATATATTTATCTGTCTAAAGAATAGTTGAAGGCTTGGAGTCTATCACCAACACAAGCAAAAACCTTCTTCTTCACCGTTTCATATCTTGGTAACTTATTATTCTTTCTCTTTTCCCTTTGTCTAATAAAGTATTGCCTTTTTCTTTATGTCTATTATATGGTTTGACCTTTCATGTCATTTATTCAACTGGGTTCATTTTTTTTTTTTTTGGCTTGTTTGGTTTCTGGGAATTGAAAAGAAACATCTAACATTGAAACTCACTATAAAGATTGAATCTTTTCATTTCAACTGTTTTATCAGCTGGTAAAGTTCAAGTTTTATACTGGGTTTTCTTTGTTCTTTCCTCAAGTTTCGAGTTTCAGGTTTGTTCTTGGCTGGTTCGTGTGAGCTTTTGAATTTCTCTTGCTGTTGAATTGGTTGTCTAGAGTTTTTCTTGTTTGATTTTTTTGCTATGTTTGGTTGCTGAGAAAATTGGAAGGGAAGAATGATTTGATTAGTTTCTATTTGGAGATTGATTCAGCTAAAGAAGGTAATTTGATACGCGATCCTTGATTAATTTAGAAGGCTAGGTGAAAGGCTTAGGGGGCACACTAGCCGGAAAAGTAGTCTGTGGCTATTTTAGTATTCAATTTGTGAAATTGATGAATGGTTTGGTTAAAATCTTTGGATTAATGAATGCTGTTTGCTCGGAGGAACATATATTCTTAATTTTGAAGTTTGCCATCATCTTGTATAGAAATTTGCGCATCTATAGATTTGGAATTTGCTATTGATATTCAGATTTGATGCCTTGCCTTTGCTTGTTTTGTAGGTTAGAATTAGCTGGATTTGTTGATGTTGGCATAGTATGACTGAAAGCAATAGCAATGCAAGTGTGAGCTCGACTTCGAGTTTGAATAGCAGCTTTCCGGACATAGAGGATGACCAAACCATTGCAAGCATCTTAGCAGAAGATGAAAGTTCTCAAGTTGCTGGAACACTTGGGAAGAGACTGTCGCATTTGGACTCCATACCAGTATTTTCCTTTTCACATCTATATTTTCCAGCCCATACTACATGCTTACACAGATATGACATTTCAATTTCACATGCTCGGTGCATTTTTTTGTTTCATTGTATAGTGTATGGAAAGGCCAATTTGTTAAATTAAAGTAAATTTTAACCTCTATCAACCTCGTGCGCCAACAAAACAGGCTGCTGATATGCAATGCTGTACCAATCTATAGTGCAGTCTTGGGTGTTAGTTATGACGGGTAAAAACTTGTGGTGATATCACTTCTTAATTTAAGCAAAACAGCGGATAAATCTAGGTACTCATGGCGCAGCAGGGCATTTCGTGTATGTGTATCTAACTTCCATTTATAAATAAGCAAAATATGCAGCTGATTTCATATCTTTGGCCGTTAAATTACTCCTTGCAGTGAAGCCTAATTAAGTAAACAATAACCCAAATCCAAAAGTTAAGAAGCATGCCTCATCACCCAGTGAACACGCATGTACCTATCCAATACGTCATCCAAAAAATAAAAGATTAAAACAATCAGTCCCTAAAAATACAAGGAACCATTAACAAAAACAATGTGAATTATGTGGCTGCATGAGCCAAGTATGCAACCTGTAGTTCCTTGCTGAAAGTAAGGGTTGCCTTGTGTATGTTCTCTTTACCTTCACATTAGCTTGCAACAAGCATGTATGTTGAGGAACAGAGTAGGAAGTGCTCAATGGATTCTTCAACAACTGCTGTTATTATACAACATATCTGGCACTTCCTTCAACGCTTGTGATTGGTTATATATTTATTTTAACCTAGTTTATACTCTATATTGACCAGTGAGAGGTAAAGAGGTAAACAAATACACATAATTGTTGTCCTTTTTTGTTTTGTTATTTCCTCCTGCTGTTGAATAACTTCTTGGTGTTTATTAAGCCATATGAATAATCATAGATTTAATGTTTTGCCAGCACACTCCACGGGTGAATGGTGAGATACCTGATGTCAATGATGCAACCTTAGACCATGAGCGGCTGTCTGAAAGGTTGTGATTTTGTCATCCACCCTTCATACTGTTTCTTATTCATTCTTGGACCACTTGGTGCATTTCACTTTTAGCTAGTATGTAATGTGATGCACCCTTCATACTACTTCGTATTCATTCTTTGATCACTTACTTGGTGCATTTCACTTTTAGCTATTATGTAATGTGGCGGGCCTATAATTGTTATCTATTTTTACGTGGTTGCCTTTTCTCATTCCTGTAATGAATTTAGTTTCAGTTGCTAGCATCCTTTTTGTAGATTTGTTTTGAGCATGGCAAGCATATTTTTCCACGTATAGACTTTGATTTGTGCTGTTTAAGTAAAGATTGTAAATGCTGGCTTGATGGCATCTAATGTGCATATTGTTAAAATATTGAATAAATGGTTTTTACCATCTGATTTCAAAACATTGGTTTCTTTTATATGCAAAGAGTATGGTTTATCTTTTGTTTATCCTAATAATTGGTTTTCTTTCAGGTTGACAACATATGGTTTAGAAGAACTGCAAATCGAGGGCGATGGGAATTGCCAGGTGTAGTAGCTACAATTACCAATTTCATTTCTTCAAATGAACTGTTTATTTGTAACTGTACTAGCATGGATGTCTGATTGAGTCCTATAAGTCACTGTGAGAACTCCATCACAGAAGTGCTTACAAAGCATTGGTTTGATTTATTTGACAGTTTCGAGCATTAGCAGACCAATTGTTCCGCAGTCCAGATTACCACAAACATGTGAGGAAGAAAATAGTCAAGCAGGTATTGTTGATACATCTCTACACATGACTTTACTAATTCATCATGCCTGGGGATGGAGAGGTTATGCATGTTGCAAAATGCTACTAATGGCCAACTTCTAATACATCCAAGTGTCTGGTGCTGTGCATGAGTCTGCTATATAGACTACATAGTTTATATATTTTCTATGAAATTGCTTTGTCATGCTACTATTTTCTTATCATTGTTTCATTTATCTTCCTTTTCAGCTAAAGCATTTCAGAAAATCATATGAGGGATATGTCCCCATGAAGTACAGAAGCTATTTGAAGAAGATGAAAAAGTTAGATTTCTATGGTGATGCATGCTAGTTTTTTTCCTGCAAAAAATGGAAACCCTGCTTACAAAAAATTAAGCTGCACTCTAATTCATTTTGTGTGTGAAACCTTCCATGATACTAGGCCAGGGGAGTGGGGGGATCATCTAACTCTACAGGCAGCGGCAGATCAAGTAAGCAGAAATCTAACTCTTTTTGCTCCTTTATTGATTTTTTCTAATTTATTGAATGGATCCATTTCCCTGAAGACTATACATGAAGCCTAATTGTTTTCGTTTTTTGTAACTATTATCTGCTTGTGTTATGCAATGGTTATCCCTTGACCTCTTTTGGGCATGAATTCAGTTTGGAGCCAAAATTTGTTTGGTAACATCTTTCCGGGACACATGCTATATCGAGATCATGCCCAAAGACAAAAGTCCCACAAGAGGTAGATCTAAATCTTTATACCATATCCCAGAGGTCATCACAACATGTGTATCATGCTTATTGTTAAATGGATTTCTGTGTTAAATTTGATTACTGTAGAGTACATTGAAAGTCCAAATCTTATTTATTATTATTCTACCTTTGCAAGTCTGCGTGCTTTACCTGTCTTGAGAGAAGCTGGATACTTTATTTCCTAATTATCACCTCCTCTGCTTCTCAATGTTGTGGGAATTTTGAAGCTAACCAGGATAAGGGATGGGGAATTGAGAAGAAGAATTTTCCTAACAAAGATGGATCACTATAACCTGTTACATGTTTCAAAGTAGGCTATACTTGATTTTCCTGTTTTGTACTTTTCCTCTCTTCAAAGTAGGCTATCCTACAAAATTCTTTGCGGAAAAAATCTATAATAAATCTGGTCACCGCAGAAACAATTCTTAAGTTATCAAGCAAGTCAAGCTGTCTTTAACAATGAAATCCCCCCCCCCCTCCATTTCGCCGAGCTATCTTTTCATTATTCTCTACTTCCTGATATAATGACTGCTCTTGTTTCCAGAACTTTGGCTGAGCTTTTGGAGCGAAGTTCATTACAATTCATTGTATGCAAATGGAGGTGAGGGACAGACCAATAGTCGGAGCTTGTTTTACCCTCAGCAGCACAGCAATATTTTTTTCAAACTAATAGCTTTAATGGATGCTGTCTATGCCTGCAGATGTCCCCACCAGAGTAGCAAGAAAGAAGCATTGGCTTTTTTAAATGTTTGACATGCCGGCATGAGATCAAGCAATGCCATATCCACTCTTCGTTTGTTCTCTATACATGTACATAATTTCCAAATAAGCGAGCAACTATAGAGTATTTAACTAGCAAATATGTAACTTGATAGCAACTATAGAGTATTTAACTAATTTCCAAATAAGCAAGCAACTATAGAGTATTTAACTAGCAAATATGTAACTTGATATTGAATTCAACATTATATATTCATAGTTTTTCTTTTAATTCTTAAGCTGAGGTCCTTGTTGGAGAATCCCGAGGAAAACTTTAGAGGAAGCTTCTTTTTTTAATCTTAAAAAACCACCCTGGTAAGAGCTCTTGGCACCAAATATACACATATCCGGCATGTATACACTTCCCGATCCTATAATTCGAATGTATGCCTCCGGAGAAGGTACGAATTTTAAAAATTATTCAAGGCCGTTGTCCGTTGTTGGGGCAAGCGGCAATCTCTGCGTTTCAGTAAACAGATTCTCGCCGCTGCCAGTGGATTGCAAGACCGACACAAAAGAGCAACAATGGGGGTTCTGTACAGTTGGTACTGTGCGAACAGAAATGACATTCTCGTTCTTCCATGCAGCTTCAGTTCGTCTGGTTATATAGTCTGGCGATATAGGGACCCTGATAAGGCCATTGTGAATGGTGCCCACTGAAATGGTAATGGATATGCGCAGCTCTATAACAACAGTCGCCCGACAAATAATTCTTTGGCCAACAGATAATGGAGCAAACCAGCACTGGTATCTTGAAATCATGACTAATTCTGCTCCAATTAAAGGAAACAAATTATTATTGTACTATAATAGTTACGTTACTTTAATATGAATAAATTTTGCTGCGGCCTCTGTTAAACCGTCCTTGTGATGCAAGAATTGTTTTTCTAGTACTAGCCATTATTTTCATGCTGAGGTTAGAAAGACTTTCCAATAATTTTCCAAGTTGGTTTAATATTTCTTTTCTTTGGATTTAGAACTATTTTATCAAATTCTCAGCATTATTTAGAGCTCTTTCCTAGTTTTGTTTAGATTAGCGGTTTTCTTGTTAGTTTATATCAAGTTTTAGATTTATTTAAAAAGTTATAAATTTTTTAGAGAGGCATGCTATCTAATGATAGTAATGATATCATTAATGTTGTCTATATTAATAAGTTAGAAGTTGAATAAAAAAATATATGAAATGTGATCAATAATTTTTTTTTATTTAAGTCATGTTGATCTTTTTTTATTACAAGTTTACTATTATTACAAATATAAATATGTTCAAATATTATATAGATGCAAAGCATATTCATAAAGTATGAGATATAAAATTTATTATTGTAAAAGTCAGTGAAAGAGAAATAAATTATTAATTATTATTTCTTATATAAATTTTAAGATGAAGATATTGAAGTTGATATTTAAAAATATTATACACATGAAGCAAAGAAAATAAAAAGTTGTAAAGTCTTGATTGAACATTTACAAGATCGAAGTAACAATAATTTAAACTCAAGAACAAGTTTTTTTCATTTCAGGGAGACTAATGTAAGTATTTTTTTTTCCTAATATATAGCTTTATATTAATAAATATAATTTTTAATTTAACTATTTGATTAAACTGATATTTTATTAGATGATTTCATATGCTTTTTTTCTATAAGATTAAAACTTTGTAGTTATGAGAAAAACCTTCTAATAATATTAAAAAGTTACTGTTTGAGATTTATTATATTTTTCTAGTAGATTTATGGTTTGATTCTTTATTTGTGTAGAACTCTTTTTTTATTTTTTTAGTTTTATTTATGGTTTTTTAATTTGTTTTAGGATTTTTATTATATTTCTTTTATTTTCAGGTTTCCTTGTTGATTTATGTTGAATTTTGAATTTATTGAAGGAGAAACAGACTACATAAAAATAAAAGTATTTAGTAATAAAATTTTTAATTAGAATTTTTATATCAATCCTTTCTCATAGAATTCCTTTGTGTCTGTGTTTGATGTTTTTTTTTTTTTTGGTACTTCCACCTATATCACCTTGTGTTTCAGAGCCACGACGACTTGAGATTATTACTCGGTATGCACTGCAATCGCATCTCATCTTATTTATTGTGTGCTGCTAACATATAGATAATCCTTGTAATTAAAAAAAAAGATCCTTGTAATAAAAATAAAGAGAGAGTCTATATTGAATCCTAAACCGTGTTTTGAATCCATAGTCTATATTGGCTTTTACGTATTGATATTAAAAAAACAAAACCAATTATGATTATATATGTGTAGGTTGAACACGTATAGTTTAACTTGACTGGATAACATTACTATCAAATTGTTGTTTGTCTGCAGGATTATATATAATTCGAACAATTTCATTGCTTAAACAAAGAATATACGATGTAATATTTATATTTAGTATGTGATTGAGGTTTTAAATTATACGAAGCAAGTGGACTTTCACTGCTGATAATAATAATAATAATGAAAAAAAATAAAAATAAACCAGCTATGTGATACGTACACGGATACATGAGTAGCGTTTGCACCTGGTTTAATGGCTCTCTGATTACTTTAATCCTTAGCAGTAGTCTTTCTCTCTTCCTCATCTTCTTAAACATAAGCTTCCGCACATTGATATTTTCAGCCCTCTAGCTTATATATGAATGCTGAATCATTGGATATATAAAAAAACATATATGCGAGTGGTTGGGGACCTGCAGCCAGGAGCCCTTATAAAAGCGAGGCAGGTTATGCTCCAAAAAACCACAAGCACTCTAGCTTTCTTCTTAATCTTCTCAATCACAGGCATCCTCACAGGTTATCAGCTAGTTTATTCCCCTTATTTGGAAACTTTCATTTCCATTGAAGGTTAAATTATTTAAGCTCTTCACTTACAATTTATCGTTTGTTTTTTGTTCTTGCTCTTGCTGCACGTACGCACGCAGGCACACTTCACTTTTTCTTCATGCATCTAAGAATATATGACATTTCATAAAACATATGGAATTGTTTGATAATTAGTTTCCCTTAGCGAGGCTTGGAAGCAAGTGCGAATTGATTCATGCCTACTTCTGCCGCTATTAATGAAGAACATATGGGATATGAAAGCAGAAAATGATTAAATATGTTAACTGGTGTGGATTAACGTCCACCTAGTACTTCAAGAATTGACACTCTTCATCTATTTTTACAGGTGAGATTTGGAAATTCCCACGATCCATAATGGAAGGAAACATGAAAGTTTGGATTTTGCAGTTGGTGGCACTATGGGTTGTGTTAGTGGCAATTCACGATCACCATGTCGTGGCAAACGATGGTGGCATTAATACACATCCCGGCCCTGTAATTCGACTGCATGCCTCCGTAGAAGGCAGGAAGGCTATCAATGATTCAAGGCCGTTGTCCATCGTCGGGGCAGGCAGTAAACTCTGCGTTTCAGTAAACAGATACGTACCCAAGCTAGTGGATTGCAAGGCCGACACAAAAGAGCAAAAATGGGAGTTCTATACAGATGGTACTTTGCGGACAGAGACGGACCTTAGCATGTGCCTCACTTGTAATGACCTAACCCAAGGAAGCGACATTCTCGTTCTCCCATGCAACTTCAGTTCGTCTGATTATATAGTTTGGAAATATAGGTCCTCTGATAAAGCCATTATCAATGTTGTCACTGAACTGGTAATGGATTTGCGCAATGGTCAAACAGAAGTCCCTCAACAAATATTTCTTTGGGAATCCCTAGATAATGACAACCAGATGTGGTATCTAGAAACATGATAATCCTGCTCAAATTGAAGGCAACAAGTTATTGTTGCCCAATAACAAATTAATTACGTTACTTTAATATGAATAAATATATATATATGGCTGCGGCCTCTGTTACAATATCGTCCTTGTGTGTAATGTTAAAATATATAAATGAAATGAAGCTTCGCTTTGATAGAGTGGTTCTTTAATTTTTTTTATAATTAGATAGTGTTGAATGAGTAAAAACCGCCTTTGTTTCACTCATGTGCTTCCTTTGGTTGCCTTCAAAAATATTTGGTTTTCTTTATTTTAATCACATGCCACAGGTTAAAAACAAAAAAAACAAAACTAAATCAAGAGTGTTCATTAAATACAGCAATTTATTAAAAACTTATAAAATCTTTAACCTCAAAATAAAAAAAAATTAGCAAGCAAAATGTTAACTTCATAAAAAATAAACAACGAAAATAAAAGCAACCAGAAAAGAAGTAAGAATCATCAATAAAGAAGCAGGAATTATTAACTTGATAGATTATTAACAACAATATTGATGAAAGATTCTTATTTGAGATTTATGAAAATAACAATATTGTTGTTTATGAGCCTGTATATTTTGAAGAGGCGGCGAAGAACAATAAATAGATTGAAGCAATGAAAGAGAAACTTAAAATGATAAAAAAAAAATGATACCTAAGATGGATAAGCTTTTACATAAAAAAATCATAGAAGTCAAATTGATTTATAGAATTAAACAAAATGCAATGGTTCTATAAACAAATACAAAGCCATATTAGTTGTGAAGGGCTATACTCAAGTGTTTAGAGTGGATTTCTCAAAAATATTTGCACTGGTAACATAATTTGATACAATCAGTTTTTTACTTGCATTGTTTACATGAAAGGATTAGAAAGTTTATCAGCTAGTTATAAAATTTACATTTCTAAATGGATATATGTAGTAGGAGATTTTCATATACCAATCAAAAGGTTTTCAAGTCAAGGGACAAGAGGAGAAGGTCTACTTGTTGAAGAAGGTATTATATGACCTTAGACAAGCTTCTAGAGCATAATATAACTGAATTAATGAGCATATACATAAACTTGGCTTTGTCAAAGCTTTGAGTGGGGCATATATAAAAGGAATTGATGCAAATTTAATTATTGTAATTCTTTATATTGATGACTTATTTGTAATATGAAGTAGTAAGATTCTCATAGAAGAGTTTAAGGCTGAAATGCTTAATGTATTTGAAATGATAGACCTTGGTTGATGTCTTATTTCCTTGGAATGGAGGTGAAACAAAGCAATGAAATAATCTTCATATGTCAAAAGAAATATGCTAAGAAGATCCTGAAAAAAGTTTCTTATAAAGAACTACAAAAGCAAAAGCACTTCTATAAATTTGAAGAAAATATTTAGTACGAATGATGGAACAAATAAAATAAATAAAGGTCAGTATATAAGTTTAATTAGGTGTTTAATGTATCTTACAACAATAAGATTTGATATTGCATTTGCTATAAATTTTCTTTCACGATTCATGCATTGTGCAAGTGAATCACATCTTCAAGACACAAAAAGAATGATAAGATATATCAATGGTACAATAAATTATAGTATAAAGTTCTCTTATTCTCATAACTTTATATGTTATGGCTATTCTAACAATGACATGACAGGATCTGTGGATGACATGAAAAATATTTCGAGCTATTGTTTTAACTTCATATTAGGCATGTTCTCTTGGTGTTTAAGAAAGCAAGATGTGGTCGCTCAAAGCACAACTAAGATCAAATATATAGCAGCTACTGCTGTTATAAATCAAGCAATTTAAATAAGAAAAATACTTGTAGATTTACATATGGATCAACTTGAACTAACACAAATTTATGTTAACAATCAAGCTGCAATTTCTATTACAAACAATCATGTTTTTCATTACAAG